AGTCTTGACGGACATGATGCTGTAGCGCCACTGCTCTGAGGCTCCATCAGGACCCAGGGTGGAAGCTACAACCCCTTCCCCATGGAAGAATCACCAGCTGCCCCCGTGGGCCCCTCTCTGCTGGACGGAGCCTCTGAACCCAGCTCTCATCTGTTTTGCCTGTCTAGGTTTATCTTTCATTCTGGTGCTATACTGTAAGAAAATGGGAACCTGAAAGGGGACATTCCTGGGAGCCTCCTTCATCCACAGGTGTCACATCAACAGATTGTTTTCATCACCTGGTGCCCATGCTCCCATCCTGCGGTGTGTGTTAGGGGGTCTTCTCCAGTAGACCCAGCACAGAGAGGAGATCAGTGTCTTTTGTCCTCCTGTCCGCCTCTCTAACCTCAGTAATGCTGCCATTATTACAAGGATACATCCTGGCAGAAGTTATCCTGGCTAAGCTGTTTAGTAAAAGAGAGAGGAGGGCTGTCTCCATGATCTGACCAGTTATGGAGGGATCTACCTAGTCCAGGTGCTTATCTGTCTTTACTCAGAGTTGGAAGAGTTCTTTAATTAAAGACCTTATCAGGTATTAGCTGAGACTAATGGAATCCATAGTTAGAGAACCAAAAAAAAATTGACTGTAGGATGGGTATTTCCTCTCCTGTATATCTGAATAGGAAACTCAGGCGTGACTGTACACGTGCCTCAGATATCCCATGTTGTGGCTTTGGCTATAAATTTCTAATGCTTCTCACTGAGAAATGACTAACTCTCTCTTCATATATCTGGTCCACATTCATCCTCTTGCTGTGTTCCAGTTTGACTGATTTTTTTCTCTCATGCATTCCATGAAATTCTGTGCTGAGATACTGCTTTCCTGTTTCAAAGCCAGTATTATAACATCCAGACCTCTCTTAAACATTGTTGATGAATTGTTCAGTGTTTACTTTTAAGTACAGAGTATTTATCCATTGTGTTGCTCCCATGTTTTCTCTGCTAAATCTCCTTTTATATTTTGGCTTTTCTTTCTCTCTGAGTGTCCCTAGGGCTTTCTGTTTCTGGGAGCTCTGTTTCCTGTCTCTGGTTGTGCATGGTCAGCGTATGCTGCCCCTCTGATAAGAACAAGGACTTCCAGTTAGGCCTGGGCTGAAACCTGAATCCCCTGTCACCCAGAAGAACTCACGCTTTTGAACTGTGGTGTTGGAGAAGACTCTTGAGAGTCCCTTGGACTGCAAGGAGATCCAACCAGTCCATCCAAAGGAAATTGGAAGGACTGATGCTAAAGCTGAAACTCCAATACTTTGGCCACCTGATGCAAACTGACTCATTGGAGAAGACGCTGATGCTGGGAAAGATTGAAGGCGGGAGGAGAAGGAGACAACATTGGATGAGATGGTTAGATGGAATCACTGACTCAATGGACATGAGTTTGGGTAAGCTCCAGGAGTTGGTGATGGACAGGGAAGCCTGAGGTGCTGCAGTCCATGAGGTCGAAAAGAGTCAGATATGACTGAGCGACTGAACTGAACTGACTGATAACCCAGAAGCTTGGCCACCCACAACCTGTCTCTGTGACACTGTTAAATTCCCTGTCTGACTTAGAGGTCTGGGGTCTTAGTACTTTACTCTTTTTCACTCTCCCGGCCTGGTGTGTTCCAGCACAACCCATCCGGGGTAGTGTAAGAATCAGCATGAGCCTCCTGGGCTCTGGGACTTGGGTGGGTTTGGCCGGTGGCCCCAGGTCTCTGGCTCTTTTCCTTCTTCATCTGGCTGCCTTCATGCAGTGGGGGCCTTCATGCTGCAGTGACAGATGTAGAATGTGCAGGTTACAGGAGTTCAGTTCAGTCGCTCAGTCGTGTCCGACCCTTTGCGACCCCAGGGACTGCAGCATGCCATGCCTCTCTGTCCATCACCAACTCCCAGAGTTAACTCAAACTTATGTCCATTGAGCCGGTGATGCCATCCAGCCGTCCCATCCTCTGTCGTCCCCTTCTCCTCCTGCCTTTAGTCTTTCCCAGCATCAGGGTCTTTTCCAAGGAGTCAGTTCTTCATATCAGGTGGCCAAAGCATTGGAGCTTCAGCTTCAGCATCAGTCCTTCCAAAGAATATTTAGGACTGATTTCCTTTAGGATAGATTGGTTGGGTCTCCTTACACGGGACTCTCAAGAGTCTTCTCCAACACCACAGTTCAAAAGCATCAATTCTTTGGTTCTCAGCTTTCTTCATAGTCCAACTCTCACATCCATATGTGACTACTGGAAAAACCATAGCTTTAGCTAGAAGGACCTTTGTTGGCAAAGTAATGTCTCTGCTTTTTAATATGCTGTCTAGGTTGGTCATACCTTTTTTTTCCAAGGAGCAAGCATGTTTTAATTTCATGGCTGTAGTCACCATCTGCCAAGATAAAAGGGGGCTTCCCCTGGTGGCTCAGCAGTAAAGAATCTGCCTGCAGTTCAGGAGCCACAGGACACGTGGGGTCAATCCCTGGGTTGGGAAGGTCCCCTGGAGGAAGCTATGGCAATCCACTCCACTTTTCTTGCTTGGAGAATGCCATGGACAGAAGAGCTTGGTGGGCTACATCCATAGGGTTGAGAAGAATCCTACACAGCTGAAGCGACTCAGCACACACGCACGATAAAAGGAGATGTAGCAAAAGACTATGAGTGCTGTGTGGCTGGACCCTTCTGGAAGGTTCTGGTGCAGGAGTGTGGTCAGGGCCCCATTCCAAATCAGACTGAGAAAGTCTCTGAACACATTCCATGGTTCCTCTGCATTCTTAAGCCTTGGTAAATAAAGAAAAAGCTTGTGGATGGCAACCTGAAAAATTACAGTGGGGCTTCTGAGAGCAAGAAGGCTTTGTCTGTCCCCAGGCCGGTGACATCATCTTGGGTCTGCCCAGATGCGTTATGTCGGGGACAGACTAACGCGGGCGAAGGACTACTCAGGAGTGCCTGAAGATGTTCTACTGGCTTGGACTATTTTTGCTCCAGATTATTTGCCTGCTTTCTTTTCTTTCTGCCCTCCCAGGTTTGTTTCTCTCAGCTCCCAAAGTGGAATGCTCAAGGGCATGCATCTGGTCTTGGAAGTAGAAGATGGAGCAAGAGTAAGGGCCTAGAGTCAGGTTGCATGGATTCCAGTCTGTCTCTCTACTCATTAGTTGTGTGATCTTTGGCAGGTAAGAAGTACTTGATGAAAGTGAGCTGCTGTTGTTATTTCCCCACTTTCCCTTCTGTAGCTTCATGCCCAGCCTTATTCAGGTACACCTAACAACTTTGGGGAGCAACCAAAAAATATTTTTGAGTCTCAAATAGGTGCTGATTTGTGTGCTAGGTACTGTGAGAATTACAGTGGAGAGGGAAGAGGCCGTCTTTGCTCAGAAACCTTGCACTCTAGTTGAGCAAGCATTCAGGCATCCATGCATGGTGAAGATGACTAACTACACAGTAATAAAGGATAATGCAAATGCATGGTTTGGAGCACAGAGCTCCTGGAGTTTGAGAGTTCATTTCAGTCTGTGGTAGCTTGGCAGACTCGAGGAAATTCAGAGTGGAGCTTTGAAAGATGGAGCTGTTACTTCCTCTGTGTGCCTAACAAGCTCATTAGAGAGTGTCTCCTGTAAACAAGGGCAGATGGAAATTCAGAAGAAATGGACAGTCCGGTGATCCTCAAGCTCTAATTTTCTGATTTCATTTTGGCCCCGCCTACAAGGAAAAAGGGTGGCGGGGAGAAAGGGATGGCTTCTCTGAGGCACGGACACAGCGAGGTTATGAACACAGGGTTGATCAGTGAAACAGATGCAGAGGGGAGACCGCCTACCAGGCCAGAGTATGAGAGTTCATTTCCAATCATAAACCGTTGCATTTCCCTTGGTTTACTTGTACCTTAATCATCTCTTTGCCACACCGAGTTAATACCCTAAGCTCATGATCGTTTCCACTGTAGAGGTGGGGAAACCAAAGCATAGGGAGCTGGTGACCAGTTGAGGAAGCAGCATGCATCTGAGCAGAGGCAAGCTGCGTTTTCTACCTGTGGATTCCCAGCCTAGCTCTCTGCTGGGCGTCTCCTGGGACACAGGGCTCAGCTGGTGTCCAGTGCAAGGCAGGCCCTGGATCCCTCAGTGGATGATGGCGAGCGGCTCTGACCCAGAACACCATGTGACCATTGCTACCCCCTCCCAACTCTGGCAGGGTTTCAAGTCCTGGTCTCAACAGCCCCAGGCTGTTGGTGGCCAGGCCTGGGAAGGGCCCACTCTCATCTTGCATCACCACTGGCCATGTGGCTGCTGGCTAGCTTGCTTGTTCAGTTTTAATTTGTTCTGTGTAGATTGCTCTGAGCCCTATATTCAGCTGCAGCTGGGCAGCTGGCACCTGCTCAACCTTTGCCCCAGTGTGTCCTAGAATTCTCCATGGTACCGATGGAAAACTGCTGGCTCTGTGAGTGCGTGTGCATGTGTATGTGTGCGTGTGTGTCCGTGTGCATGGGTGGAGAGGGAGGGAGAGGATGGGTAAGGAAGGTATTAAGTCTCCTGAAAAGCAGACCTCTTTATTGGGGGTTTCTCTGGGTGGAGGTGACTCAGAGTTGATATGTGATTGTCAGGAACCCGTGTGGTTTTCTTCTTGCAGATGTGGTAAACTGACCTTGGCTATCAGCCTGACCCCCAGTGGGAGGACAGGAAGTGTGCCGTGGGCTTTAGTCCGAGGCATTCGTGGCCTGTGACCCTCCCCCCAACTCCCCCCCCCCCCCGCCCCCGGTTGTTGTCATGGCAGCAGCAGGAGTAACAATAGGAAGAGTGGGGTTAGAATAATGGCAGTTTCCAGATATTCAGAGCTTACCATATGCTAAGGGCTTTTAATCAGTGTCTCCGCACTCAGGAAGTATTATTCTCAGTGGCCTTGCTTTAGGAGCCAGGGAAAGGAAGTACGGGGGACTTGATGGCTTTTTTTGAGGTTGCTCGGCTAGTAAGCTGTGCACCCGGGGCTTCGGTTCGGATCCTTCTGATTCCAGTCAGGTTCCATCTAATTGAGCTCGCAACCCCCGGTGCTCTGCTGAAGGCTGAGGAGGTCCTTTCCCAGTAGAGAGTCCAGTGTCGCCCCGACCACCCCCTCCCCGTTCCCTCCTGGTGGAGTAAGAAAAGGCACCGATCTGACCAGCTCACGGATTCCTTGCTTCTGTATCAGGAGAGTCTTAGCCATCTGGGCTGGGGAGGCCCTCACTCTGGGCAGGAGGAGGACGAAGCACGAGGAAGGGACTCGCCCAAAGCTGGCAGCAGCCTGGAGCAAAGTAAGGGGTAGAACGCTGCCCCCCGACTCGCAGCCAGGCCCCCCCACTCTGCTTGTCGAGCACCTTTCTGCCCCACGTCCCGCCCTCCAGACGCCCGTGTGAGACAGTGGCGAGGAGGAGGGCCAGGCCAGCGCTCTTTGTCCTCCTGGGCTGTCGGCTTGCACGGGCAGCAGAGATTGCACCAGCTTCTTTCCTTTGGGTGTGTTACCCACTGGTACACTTGGGACGTTGGGGGGCTGTGGAGGACTTGACCCTTTCCTGACATTCCCCAACCCTCCTATTTTTTCTTTCCAGAAAATTTCACAAACCTAGTAGGTTCTGAGAGACTCCTCCCTGGCCGGGTGACGGATGCGCCTCCATCTCCCTCTGGAGGCAGGCCACTTTGTATTTTGCCCCTTCCCCTGGAACAGTAGGCCGGGCGGGGGGGGAGGGCAGTGTCATTGGGGGAGTTGTCAGGTTTGCCTCTTTCTGAGATGAAAGCTCACAGTATCCCTCCAGAGCTGGAGGAGCACGTTGCATTAGCCTCAGCTGTGATGTCGATAAGACGATGAATACACAGACAGGTGGGGGCAATATGCGCTTTGGGGACTCATTTCTGACTCTGCATTTGCCTTCCTGTCAGCCCCCTGGAGACAGTTATTTCCCCATTTCCCGGAGGGACACACTGAGACTCGGACCCAGAGCCCAGCCAGGGAAATCTGGAGAACTCATCCTGTCCATTTCACCCATCCCACCTGGAAACTGATGCTACCTTGTAGCAGGGATCAGCAGGACTCTGGGTTGAATGCAATCCCCTTTGTTATTATTATTTTTTGAAAAACTTGTGTTAAAATAAAACATATATACAGTAAAATACAGAAATCCACATTTTATGTTTCTTAAAATGTAAGTTTTCTGGTTATAAAGGTAATATTACAAAATTTGAAAAAAGTTAAGAAACCAAAAACCCCAATCACTTAGAAATCACAGCCAGTAAGATGTGATGTGTCTGTTTTCAGTTGATCTCCTGGTTTGAGAGTTACTGCCAGAAATCGGCTGCTGGGAGCAGAGGGCACGGACAGGGTCGTGAAGGACCCTTTGCCCCTTCTCAGGATGTGTCTCTGCTGGTCCCAGCTGCAGCTTCTGCTCCTCACCTGCAGCTTAAAGACGTGATCATCCCTGTCCCAGCTGTTAATACATCAAGTAATTAGTAGTGACACCAGGCAAGCTGTTATTTGAATTTTCCTGCATTGTTCAAAGTACAAAAGTCAGATTTGATGAGTTAGAGAGAGAGTCCTAGAGCCCTTGAGGGCAGGTGTGGCTCAGGGAGACCAGTTGGCCTGGGTAAAGGCTCCTGCTTATGTCTCCCTTTGGGGCTTGTGGACAAGGCTTAGGGGGCAGCAGCCCCTGAGTGGGAGGATGTGGCCCCACTCTTGGGCATGTCAGCCGCAGCTACTTGCAGCTGCACCTCCCTACAGAGATCGACTTCCGCTGGGGCACTGAGTCATTTTATGTGGAGTGTTCAGAAAGTACTTGGGGCTGCGACAACTCTGCCAGTGTTTGTGGATACCGGCATCATCCAAATCACCATCTCATTATTCAGGCTGGGATAGAAACTGTCAGAGCTGCAAGGGACCGTCAACACAGGCTAGTCTGTGACTCTCAGAGCAGCCTGCGTCACTGTACCCTGGACGGCCTCTTAGGACACTGGCTATGGGCCCCCACCCCCACAGTTTCTGAGCCAGGCCTTCTGGGGTGGGGCCCGAACGTGTGCATTTCTAGCAAGCTTGCAGGAGATCTGCTACTGCTGGTCCAGGGACCGAACTCAGAGAGTGGCTAATCCAGTTCTTTCATCTTCGAAAGTGTGGGCCTGCTATGGTCTGAAAGTGTGTGTGTCCCCACTCCTACCAAACTATCTGTGTTGAAAACCTGATGCTTAAGGTGATTGTATTAGGAGGAAGGGCCTTTGGGAGGTGATTAGGTCAAGAGGGTGGCACCCTCATGAATGGGATTAGTGCCCTTATTTAGAAAAGACCCCTGAGATCTCGCTCTTCCCTTCCAGTACGTGAGGATGCAGTGAGAAGGCAGGTGTCTGGTCCCGAGAGAGGCTGCTCACCAGAACCTGACCGTGCTGGTAACCTGACCTAAAACTCCCAGCCTCCAGAACTGTGAGAGGGAAGTATCTGTTGTTTGTCAGCCGGCCAGCCTGTGGTGGTTTTGTTGGAGCAGCAGAAGGGGCTAAGACCACATTGGTCTGGGGGACCACACTATGGTCTGGGGGACCACACTATGTTCTGGTCTGTTTATGCACCAGGAAGTGCTGGCAGCTGGGTCTTAGAGGCTGCTTTCTTGATGAGATAGAAACTGTCCCGACTCTGGAAAGGGGACAAGAATAGGCACCCCTTGACTCGGGGGGAGAGGTAGAAGCGGGAGTACACACCCTGACCTGCTGCAGCTTCGTTCCTTATCCAGGAAGCGTTTATTGAGTACTTCCTGTGGGGACGGAGCTGTGCCTGGCTGTGGGGTGATGCAGACGGGGCGGGCTGTGTGCCATGGTGCCGTGGGGCTGCTTCCCGCCCTCCTGTCCGCTCCCTGACGGGGGCCCCGCACACATGGGAGCAGAGGACTCAGTCGGGACCGAGTCCCAAGCCGCCTCTGCCCCGGCTCTTGGGTGACCTCGGCTAAACCCTTGCCTGGAGACCTCAGTTTCTTCGCTAAAAAATTCAGCGCAGCAATAGATGAGGTTATGGTTGAACAAGACCTTTTCCTACCTTGTAATTCTGAAACTCTGCCGACTCTCAAGTGGTTGAAGTGTCGTCTGACTTCATTTCTGCTTTTAATAAGATAATACCTCTATCCTACTTTTCCCTCCTTAATATGAGCCAGACCGGGGCTCTGCTAGTTTGTGAGGTGTGAGGATTTGGAGGAGATTAGTGCTGTATTGTGTTGTCTGCTGAACACTGCTGGCTGCAGGGTGCTTTTGCTCTCAGAGTTTTAATTTGCTTTTCTTCATAGTCATCTATGGTTTCTTTTATCCATAATGAACCATGAGTGGAGACAGGAAACATATGGAACGTTACAGAGCTAATGGGGAACACAATAATAATTCTACAAATTTCCCTGAAGATGGTGGTTACCATATTGTATTCATTTGACCAGAATTTTTATATAGCACATCAAGATGTTTCTAGTACTCAGAAAAACTGATAATTATACCTAAAGTGGATTTTCATTCCCTGGGAATAAACACTATTTACACATATAACAGAGAAATGCATGTAAATTAGTCTGAACACTTTTCTCTTACAGAAACAAAATTTCAAACTTACAAAGCAGCCAAGAATAAGAAGTTCCAACTTCAGGATGTGAGAGCAGGTTTTGATTATTTTTATATCTTAACATTTGATTAAATTATTATAATTTGATCACCAAGCCTGACATGATATAATATGCCATCTAAAAATGTGTCAACAGGGAATTTCCTGATGGTCCAGTGATTAGCAGTCTGAGCTCTCACTGCCAAGGGTCCAGGTTCCATCTCTTCTCAGGGAGCTAAGATCCTGTACATGACATGACCAAAAAATAAATTTAAAAAATGTGTTAACAAATCGTGCTTTTTTAAATCTAGTTAACCTGAACTAAGTTGGGCAGTATGTGCAACTTGTTAAGTTGGGAAGGTGGACAGTTGAATTTATTCCTACAATAACCATTATTAAGGATTCTGTTAGAACTGCGGTTTATAAAATTTTTGATAGTAATCTGATCTAAGAAAAGGCAGAGGAACCAGAGATCGAACTGCCAACATCTGCTGGATCATCGAAAAAGTAAGAGAGTTCCAGAAAAACATCTGTTTCTGCTTTATTGACTATGCCAAAGCCTTGACTGTGTGGATCACAATAAACTGTGAAAAATTCTGAAAGAGATGGGAATACCAGACCACCTGAGCTGCCTCTTGAGAAATCTGTATGCAGGTCAGGAAGCAACAGTTAGAACTGGACATGAAACAACAGACTGGTTCCAAATAGGAAAAGGAGTACGTCAAGGCTGTATATTGTCACCCTGCTTATTTAACTTATATGCAGAGTACATCATGAGAAACGCTGGGCTGGAAGAAGCACAGGCTGGAATCAAGATTGCCAGGAGAAATATCAATAGCCTCAGATATGCAGATGACATCACCCGTATGGCAGAAAGTGAAGAGGAACTAAAAAGCCTCTTGATGAAAATGAAAGAGGAGAGTGAAAAAGTTGGCTTAAAGCTCCGTATTCAGAAAACTAAGATCATGGTATCCAGTGCCATCACTTTATGGCAAATAGATGGGGAAAAAGTGAAAACAGTGGCTGACTTTATTTGGGGGAGGCTCCAAAATCACTGCAGATGGTGACTGCAGCCATGAAATTAAAAGATGCTTACTCCTTGGAAGGAAAGTTATGACCAACCTAGAAAGCATATTGCCACAAACGTCCATCTAGTCAAGGCTATGGTTTTTCCAGTGGTCATGTATGAATGTGAGAGTTGGACTATAAAGAAAGCTGAGCACAGAAGAATTGATGCTTCTGAACTGTGGTGTTGGAGAAGACTCTTCAGAGTCCCTTGGAAAGAGACCCACCAATCTATCCTAAAGGAAATCAGTCCTGAATATTCATTGGAAGGACTGATGTTGAAGCTGTAACTCTAGTATTTTGGTCACCTGATGCGAAGAGCTGACTCATTTGAAAAAACCCTGATGCTGGGAAAGATCGAAGGTGGGAGGAGAAGGGGACGACAGAGGATGAGATGGTTGGATGGCATCACCGACGCAATGTACATGTGTTTGAGTAAACTCGGGAGTTGGTGATGGACAGGGAGGCCTGGCATGTTGCAGTCCATGGGGCCGCAAATAGTCGGACACGACTGAGCGACTAAACTGACTGACTGACTGAATCTGATATAAACAGCATGCTTTTAAACTTAAAAGTGTGCAAAAATAATCAAATTATATTAGCATTTCCTTGGCATGATTACACGCTAGAAAGATGCGAAACATTAACAAGAACAACCTCTAAGTTTCCGTCTGGTTGCACTAGGATTCTTGGATGGTGTGGGGTCTGAAAACCATGATGAAGAAGGTGACAGTTCTTCAAATGATGATCAGGGGTGGTGAACATGGTGTGCCCCCTTCCCCCTAGGTTGTTTTTGGAGATAGGATTGGACACGGTCTTTGAGAGTCCAGAT